TTGATTTAATAAGTTGTTTCACTTTAATAAGTTATTAAATATGTCAAAATGTATTTTGTTTTCTATGTATACGTGTGCTTTCCTTTCATCCAGTTAATAAATTTTTTTAAATAATATTTTCTTTTGAATATTCTCGCGCCACCCCTCTGGAGTGCTCGCGCCCCCCTAGGGGGGGGGCGCCCCACAGGTTGAGAATCGCTGATTTACGTATTAGATTGAAAGTTATTTAAGACGATTAATTTGGTTTCGCACTATACATAAATATGAAGTCGAATCAATAGATAAACTACATTCGAGTACCGAAAATTTTGTGGTAGAAGCTATCCATCAATTAGCACCCAATAGCTGCTACAATCGATCACGTTATCTTCCATGTTCAAACCGAACTATCGCCTAAAACAAACTGAACTAGGGTGTCTTTTTACAGGTCACAAAAATTTCCATGTCCATTATTCGAAACTTGACAGTTTTCGACGATTTTTTATCAATTATCGAGATCAAATTTCTCAAATGAATTCCAATTTCAAAATGAATCACAATTATTCCTGTAAGCAATCAATTGTACTTATGGTGATTAGAAAACGAATAAAACATATATTATCCTGTCTTGAAATTAAAAGTGCTTAAGCTAATCGGAAAGTTACCGAAATTACAAGTACAATCTTCTAGCCATGGATACACTCGAAAGTGGGTTAAGAAAATATTATAAATGCTACGTTTGGCAAAAATCAGATTCAAATTACAGTAATACACATTTTCTATTTTAAAATCTCGATAAGTAGTCTGGAGCCTCATAAAACTTTTTAATATGGATAAATCTTCAATTTCTGAGATATTATTTTTATTTGTTGAGCTATATTTTGGTATTAATGTAATTAGTGCTAATTTCCATTTTTTATAATAACTAAATGTATTGTAAATGCTATTTACTTGAATCTATCGGCAACTCATACACCCAAATAAAAAATTAAGCTAAAATAGTAATAACAGTAATAAATTAAAGAATTGATAATTAAATTTAAATTATAGTTTCAGTGTTTACTTGAAACTTACTGAAATTAAGAAGGGAGCATAATAACCATTTAATGTCCTTTGGGTAAGGCCGTTCCAAGCATAAGTTTAAGTTTTAAATTCTTAAGTTAATATTAATTGATAATCTTAAAAAAGCAAATAACAATGCTTAAATTAAATACTTAATAAGGCAAATGAACTGCAATTAAACAGTGTACCTACTTTTCATATATTGCTTTATTTGGATTCGGTCGCTATTCTGGAATGAACGGTTCTGTTCGGACATTCTTATGGGCGTTGAAATAACATTGCGTCTATGGAACGGCAAACGGGAATTTCTTTCCTCGTCGTTATAACGGAAGTCTCAAACCAATCGGGATTTTGTACTGAAGGCATAGACTGTATTTTAAGAAATCGGGTGTTCGCCTATTAACATATTTAGAAATAGCTCACACCCTCGTTCAATATTGTTTTTTTACACATCTGCCGAAAAAAATGATAACTGTCGCATAAAAATGTCTCGTTTCTCAGAATACTAGAAAAAAATACGACACAAAAGGAAGATTACTTGTGTCTTAAATTATTCTAACCTCAATTATCATTACAAATTATAAAGTTTCGTTAAAAAAAATTTTAAAAAAGTAGTTTAAAAGAAAAATGCAATCGAGATTTTTGATAAAGAGATTACTTTTGATATTGCACGCATTACGAGAGTTAAACTCTATCATAATAAAAATCATTTGTATTAATGAAAATAACAGAATAAAGTTTGAATATAAAAAGAACATGAAAAGAGTATAATTTCAGAAAATAAGCATCTATGTACGAAAATTTATTCATTTTTCTTCTTCAATGCATTGGATTTCAAAGGCAATTTACACTAAACAGAAACCATGAATACATGCACGTGAACTCCCTATAAATTTGTTTGTACTTAATTTAAACATTGCTATTTGGAAAACTGGAATTGAATGTTCTCATTTTTTAAAGACAGGTTTATAAGAAAGGAACACCATTACAATCGTGTCTCAAGAAATGGGATTATTTTGCATAAAGGCAAGAACATGAAGTTCGAAATAAAACTACAAATAATGCAGTAAATAACCGAGACAAACAATCGTTCCATTATGTTATTTGGCCCTCATGAAACAATCTGTTTCCTACCCTATTTGTGCGTTTTTATTTAATACCATATTCTGATTTACTTTGTTATAATTACATACTTGATTATACTATGTTTGACATCACAAAAGTATCTTTCATTGAAATTTCGTAAACCAATCATAGTTTAATCTCCGTTCAGTGGCGTTAGCAGAATTTTTTCAAGGGGGGTGTTCATGATTTTCTGAAACTACTAAAAGAAATTCGAGTATGTAATAAGGCACTATTATTTCCCTAATTTAGACAGCTAGATAATTTGACTTTTTATTTAGACAACATTGTTTAGATAAATTTTGATTTGATTTTTTAAGTTTAAGAACATAATGTAATATCTTCTAGCATGTAATATCTTCTGAAAAAAGTCCAATGTCATATGGGTGGGAAGTAACACTTTGAGGGCCACTTTCACATTCATCAGATTTTGTTATGCTAGAAACGTTTTCTTCAACGGAAGTATCACATTTCTGTACAACAGAAAAACTTACATTGGTACTAGATGCTGTCACCTCACTAATTTCAGGTCGTGATTTTTTCTCAAAGTAATTAAAAATTGTTAAATTCTTGCGTTTAGACATCCTAAAGATCCAAGAACAGCAAAAATATATACATATATATTGGCACAGAAATATCCACTAAGCTACGATCTCAAAGTTTCGAGCTGGAATGAATAACTTCAACGAGCACAGAGTCTCCAAAACAAAACAGATTTAGAAACAAGCTCCGAAGGACAAGCGGCAGAGATAACTCTTAGTCTGACTAAAATCGAAAATAAATGTAACCCCCTTTCATATAATTTTTTTTAACCGCATCTACAAAATTCTCGAATTGTCTCAAAGACGACAGAACGTCTAGGATTCCAGACCTCGCGAATGCCAGCCAGTCTCGAAAACTATCGCGACTGGCAGGTCAGAAAGGAACCAGTGATCGGGGCTCGCCCGTAACAGTATCACGTGAATTTGGTTTCAAAAGTACAACCCTATTATAGTAAATGTTTTTTCAGTGTTCTGAGAAATACCGTGAGAAAAAAAAAGTAGGCATAAAGCAAATAAAAATATATAGTCTTAAAAAATAATAGCCCGCATAATTTCTACTAAAATTTTTATTTTTACCATTTTGTCTGAGCTCAAGGGGGGAGTTTAAACCCCTCCCTTGCGTACGCCACTGTCTCCGTTATTTTAAGGGGGTGTTAGAAAGAGACTGTTTGCATCTAACTGTACGCTAAATGGATGCCAAGCGAATATCAACATCGCCAACTCTTGAAACGAAGTAGCACGGCCTGGGCCCGACTTAGCCTAATAGGGGTCGGAGGCAAAAATTTCTCTGCCCCCCCCCCATTGCTTCACTACTTGAGTAATGAAGAACCGAACTTTATGAAGGTATTTTTCATCTCTATTTAAATAACAAAAAATTTATTAGAACCTAAAATAGCTATGAAGTCCCCCCTCTCCAATGTCAGACGAAATATCGTTCTATTTTTATTGATCTTCTGACAATTCTATGTCCATCATGCCGAATGCAGTTTTCTGATTGTAGCTGTGAAACATCTTTGCTGACATTAGAGCGGCTAAAATGTCGCTCAATTAAGCCAATCAAAATCCTGTCATTGTTGATTATCGCTAAATGTGTCCATCGTAATAGCCAAAATTTATCTGAATTCCACCCTCGAAAAGAAGGAAATGTAAAATAAAGTTTCTACTCGATTTGGGGGACCCGTATCATAACCACCTAGAGTATGATAAACCTTCTAGTAGGTGTTGCCCGTATGCCTTTGTCACGACTTTCATTTTGCTTATAAAAAATAGCACGAAATAAATTTCTGTTTTAAAATATTGTTTTGAAAGCATAATTATATGATATCTAAATAAAATAGGCAGTTGCTTTCTTAACGGAAGTTTAAATAATGTTATAACTGGCTTGTAATGTTCACCTCTTATATGACTCGACCCCCCCCCCTTTTTTTATAACGAGATAGCAAATTTCTGGTATGTCTACTAAATAAGTCGATATGTAAACATAAAAATTTCTAAAATTAAATATAATTATTAAGTCAGCAAAATTTTCTCAAGTTAAGAATATTTTACGTCTGGATATTTGCCTTCAAATAAAGCTACTGAATGTTCTGGAAATTTATAACCTTATAATTTTCCATTTTTAACATAATTTTTGTATTCTTTTTTCTAAACGTAATTTAAAGCATTGTTTTTTTTTCTTAAAAAGAAAACTTTATGTGTAAAAGAAATATGATTTTGCGAGTTTTTTAAACTAACTTAAGCATCCTAATTAATAACAATCACGTGATTTTTGGACATGCGCTAACGACACTGACCTGTGAAACTCGACTTTTCGGATAGAAGCTCGTATAGTTCTAGTGTTACTTTTTAAAAGTTGGAAACTACTTTCTATATTCGAATAAGACAATTTATAAAACAAAGATTATCTTTAAGTTTTCTTTTTCTACCATCATTTGAAGACACTCAACTTCGAAAATACGATTTTATGTCAGACAGTTGAACGCTGAAACGGCATAGTGTCCTAAAAAATAGTTTGGAATGAAGTAAGATTCGTTAAAATTAAAAAAGAAACTGCTATGAACATCGAGAATGGTTATCACAAAAGTGCAACAAAAAGATTGAAAAGTTAATCTATTGTAATTAATTATATTTTCATATTTTATAATTTATTCCAACTAGAATAAACATATTTTCTTTTTAAATGTTGTCCTTTCTTTTCACTAGCATTTTACTTAAATAATTTCTTAAAAATAACCTAAAATAGTCTGAAACAAATAATGAAATTCCTTTCTGATTGTCATATTAAAATTCGACCTCTGAAAAACCAAATATATGATATTGATTAAATATAAATTTAAATACAGTTTTCGAAAATCTCGACTGGTTAAAAAAAAAAAAAAGTCATAACTGTCGGAACACCTCTACGGAACGAATCCTATCGGAACATCTTTTGGGAATAAAAGAATTTATGCTTGCAAAATAGATTCTATCTTAAAGGCCTGTTTAGACGATCCAAAGTTCTTGGATGAAGACTGATTAATGGAAGCTTGAGCTTGGATTGCGTAAGCGATCATCCAAGTACTTGGACCAAATCCTTGACCATCTTTTCATCCAAGTTTTTTCTCCCTCCACCAATCAGCTTCTTAAGACATCAACAAGCAGACATCAGATGTTGTCTGTTTTCATATATTTTAGTCCAAATAAATTAGGGTCTATTTGTGTTATTATGATTTTATTTGTATTTATTTAGTCATTTTAAACGTTTATAAGTATGATGTTGAATATGAACAAGTTTTTCTTCCGACCCATCAGTGAGATTGAAGAACTTGGTCGACGAATCATCCAATTTCTTGGAGAGAGAAATTCCCTCAATTTTTTAGGATTCAAGAACCGAGGCCTTTAAAGACAACAAAATGACATTTATCTATGGTAAAGGTGATCTGGGAACGAATTTCACTGCATGCTGTTGATGCTTCGTTCTGTGTCCTTTCTTCATCTTTCCAGACTTCTTTATTCCCACGTACCATTCTTTATCATTTCCTAACCACACGTAACGATTCCAACCGTCTTCATACAATTCTCTGAACCAAGTATTTTCAGAATCTTCATCAAGCTGGAAAAACAAAAAAATATATGGTTTTGTAGAGTCTACCACTACAAAAATACAATTAGCTAGTATAAAAGACAACTCGATTTTATGTAGGGGTTGACTATGTTTACGTATCATTACTAGATTAATTCAATGTCATATTTATTTATTAAGTTTATATATATATATATATTCCATTTAATATTATATGTTAACCTAATATCATGATTTGATATTGCAGCACGCTACCCAACCGCCAACTTCCTTTATTTCCCCCTACTTATCTATGCCAAAAGTACCAGTTGCCCTAGGGCAAAATTTTAGATTAAGAGGTTTAGAGCACGCTTACGCGACCAGGTACCTTATCAACCACAGATCGTCGTTGTCTACCTTTTTATAGATGGCGATTTACACGGTCGAATACTCCTCTCCCCACATTGGTGACCCGGGCGTGATGTGAACATGCCTACGTTGTCAGAAACTGCCACTTTGAAATGAACACGCCTATCTTGACAGTAACTCTCAATTCGATCTGAACACGCCTACTTCGATGGATGATCCACATTGAATAATTGAGTTGTGACTGCGAGGTTATCCACCTCCTCGCTCTGTTGCTACTCAGTCTCGATCACGTACAGCGTATACACTCGACTGCTAAAAGGCAAAACAGGAGCGAACTTAATACAGCTCTCACGATCAGCACTCAAAAGTACGGTGATCTTCATGCAGCGTCTTCTCACAAAACAGCAGTGATTTGAGGGAATTAATTTTCGACTATGTCAACCTTAATGTATCAAAAGGTACCTCAAGATAGTTAACATGTCTTATATACTAGTGATTTGGTATTTGTAGTGGTAGTTACGCCACAGATTCATCGAATTCTATCACAGATAAAATTCTGGTAGGGGAGTACTGTAGCGTATCTACCACAGCAAAAATACAATTCCCTAGTATAAAAAGACTTGTTATTTCGATTTTATGTACCTTTTCATAGATGACATGATCGAATACTCCCCACAGTTAGTTCTCAAATTTATTTAATTTTAGCTTGGTTACAACAGAGGTGTCTTGCACACAATTCTAGACTGTTTTACCAACATTACAGCAATAAATGATGACAGTAGACCATAATTTCTGTAATAAATCAGTCATAATTTATTGCCATATTGATTTTTTTTTTTAAAACTTCATGCGTTATCAGAATCTCGGGTGTCAGAAAGACAGACCACTGCTCGTTTTAAAAACTCGTTTTACTCAATTATCTTCATGTATATTTAAAAAGATTAGAGGTTTTAGTAAAAATTAATAATTGAAAAAAAATACGATGTTTCAGGAATTTTAGTTTAAAAAGGTGACAACATGGCGTTCAACATGGTAAAAAAAATTTCATAACTTTTGACCCAAAAATGTTTTGAACATTAAATTAAATGAGGAAAATTAAAATTTATTAAATTTTTGACATAAAACATATACATTTACGAATTCGTACTTAAAGGATACATAAAGACCTGTTATTGGATTCATACACTAAATATATAGATGCGTAAAGTGGTGCGTACAAGTAAAAATCTGATATCTTTCCTATACTTTTTATAGAGAATAATTGACTCAATGTGTTCGAAAACTGGTCATTTTCAACAAAATTAATCTTACAGGAGAGTCGAAAAATAAAAGAGCTTTTTTTTTAATTTCTCGATATTAAAATATAGCTGGTTACAAAATATTTTACTGCACACCATTACTTATTTTTTTTTTAATTTAAAATATAATTAGAACTTGGAGAGATGACTGGTCTTCAGATAAAAACTAATACTGTACATGATTTTTAACAAGCGGAAATATTTGTCAATAAGGAATGACTTTATGTGAGTTTTAAACTTATATATTCATGTTGTAGATTTAGAGATCTTTGGGATTATAACTATCTGTGCTGAGATTTTCTTCATAGAAGGACAAAAACTCATCGGGTTTATAGTGCAAAAACTTGTTTGATGTCGGCAGTTTTTTTATGACAATTTTCCAAAATAAACTAATTTCCTTAACTGGTTTAGGTGCAGCTTTTAGTGTACTTTTTAACTAGTAAATGTTAACTAGCATAAACCACCACTGAACGGAGATTAACCAGGTGGAGTGCTTTCATTAGCTATTATGTGACACCTAAAACTGTTGTTTCACCTTTCTTACTTTGACCACAGGAGGAGTATTTTCACATTTTTCTTATAATATTCCGACCACCATCTTTTGAAATCGTATTATTTGTAGCCACCTTCTTTACTTTTATCTCTCTTTTTATTTTCTTGCATGTACAATATAAACCCTCTGAATCACTTGTTGTGTGATATAAAGCATCAACAGGCCTGAACTAAGTAATTAATTGTTAAGTTAGGTGAACGATTTCATGAGCAACAACGGCAGCCTTCTAGCGGTATACATCCAAGTTATTATAACCGAGAACATGTTATCTCCATTATGCAGCCTGCTTTCATGGCACAAAATATACTGCATCAAGGACATGGACATTTATATTCTAACTTTGTATCTACGTCAGCTAAATTTGAAAATCCAAAAATTTTAATTTTGAGTGAAAAAAAAGTAAAGACTGGCTTTTTGTCTCATAGGATCTAATATTCCTCAAAATTTCATGAAAGGTTATTTTTTGAGACTAGAAAGCAGGATGAGGCTATTAGCATTAAAAAAATAAAAAAAAACTAACGTAAATGCTGAACATGCGTTATCTAAAAACCACAACATAAAAAGAAGTAGGTAGCGCGGAAGAGAAAGTGTTTCAGAGAAAAATGTTTCGACCTGAGTGGACTTTATACTATCTTAATCCTTTATAAGTTTTTTTTTTTTTTTTGTTCTAAAAAATTTGTTGGGTTATCTATCATGGAAGCAAACTAGAAAAAAAAAATTGTACAGTGTCTTTTATTGGGTCGTTTTACTGTGGCCCATGCAAAATTATTTTTGAATATTTTCTGAACATTTAATCTGAGAAAACTTGCTATTCGCGATCACAACATCTGGGGAGAAGACCGGTTCCATGGCTTCTCTCTCCTCCTCTTCTCAGTTGTACAACGATATTTTCTCTTCTCCTGATATCATTTAAATGTCCCAAAGCCTGATATGCCTGACACTAAATGAAACCAAAACTAGGGTTAAAATGCAGAATAATCTATCAAGCTCAATGGCAATAAATAAAGGTGTGTGACAGGGGGATGCATGCCTACTCTTCAATTTAGTATTAGAAAAAGTAATATGTGATTCTAACTTTGACACCACGGGAAATATTTTTAATAAATCTGTACAACTGTTGGCGTTTGCTGATGACATAGACATTATTGCTAGAACACTACTAAGATAGGCATTTATTTCTTTAGAGAAAGCGGCACACAAGATGGGTCAGAGAAAAAACGAGAGCAAAACTAAATATTTACCCTGTACTAAAACAAGCTTTAATAACCCCCATTTAGAAATTGAAGAATATAAATTTGAGGTTGTTGACAATTTCGATTACTTGGGTTGTGTAATCAACAAAAGGAACATTACCAGAATGGAAATACAAAGAAGAATTACTATAGCCAATAACTGTTTTAATGGAATTCGAAAATACATAAAATGGAATGTAATTTATAGAAAAACAAAAGTTTTATTATATAAATCTCATATAAGATCAATTTTAACACATGATTGTGAAACCTGGACTCTATCTTGTAAGGATGAGGCTATTTTGGATACCTTTGAGAGAAAGGTCTTGAGAAGTATTTTTGGAGGAATTCAAAAAAATGGTGTGTGACTTAGTAGATCAAATCTACCACTCATATAATAAACCTGACATTATTAACTTTATTAAACGACAAAGAATAAAATGGGCAGGCCACGTTATCAGAATGGACGAAGACCGTACCACAAAAAGAGTTTTCGATGCCAGACCAGTTGGCACACGAAGAAGAGGCAGGCTGAATTTGAGATGGATAGATGGCCTAGAGAAAGACCTTTTGGTCTAAAAAAATTGGAAAAACACTAGCAAAAAAAGGTTATCCTGGAAAAACTTCCTGAGAAGGCCATGGCCCACCCTGGGCTATCGAGTCATGCATGATGACGATGAATTGTCATAAATATTTTTTAAAATTTCCGAGACGCTTTCTTTTGGAACTGTGTTCAATGTAGTTTTCAGTTCCATATAGTTTCTTAACTTAAAAGTTTTCTCATCTATCTGAAAATCAAGCCAGAAACTAACGTACTTCCGCCTCTTATGACTATCCACACGCCAAAGGTTTAAAGTATGTGAATTGTTGCCATAGGTAGAGAGTTCTGCTCTACGCCACCGCCAGCCCATTTCGATCACCAATTATATATTTTTTGTAGGTTGAAATTCAAATTATATTTCTATTAATAAACTGGTCAGGATTCTTTCTTTAAATGTCAACTTCTTCTAATTGTTTAAGACGGTAAAATTTTAATAAAACCAAATCCTATAGTACTTATATAATAAACCTGAGGTATTTATATAATAAACCTGTGGTATTTATATAATAAACCTGAGGTATTCATATAATAAACCTATTATATAAATTCTGTATAACGTATATGAATTTCACATAAAGTATTTATAAGCCTTTGTTATAGTTTTCAACCATTAATTTTCTGTTCTTATTCTCTTCTTTTTAGGTGCTGGAAATTAGTTAAAATAATTTATAGATGAGAGTTAATAAGTTTGTTCATTGATAGTCTCAGTAAATTCCATTAAAGTAATTTTAATTTACTATGAAAATTATCTTTTCACTTTCACATATTGTTCGTTTCCATTTCAAATGATTTGTAATTCAATGATATCCTTACCAATAAAACTTTTAAGACTTAGAACTAATGCTAATTTGTTGCTAAGAAAAAATCGATTTTCAGTGGCGCTGAGTTATAAATTTATAACTCTAATATATATAACTCAGAAATGCCGGTTATTATTAATAATTGATAGAGAGGAAATGAAAAGCCAATAAAAGGATCATTGCTGTTAATTGGGTAGT